CGGCGGAGGCGACCCCCGAGAACAAGAAGCGGGTCCATCGCTGCCAGTTCAACGGCTGCAGGAAGGTTTACACAAAGAGCTCGCACCTGAAGGCACACCAGAGGACACACACAGGTGAGGCTCACGCGCACGCCCGCTCACACTCACACTCACTAACTCACGCACTCACTTCCACTCCCACTCACATACCCACTCAAACACTCACTCTCCCACTCACACACTCACTCACACTAACTTGCTCATTCACACTCACTCACGCCCACACTCGCTCCCACTCCCACTCACACACTAACATGCTCATTCACACTCGTTCACGCTCACTCACACACACAGGTGAGGATCGCGTGCACGCCCACTCACACTCGCACTCACTAACTCACGCACTCACTTCCACTCCCACTCGCATACCCACTCACACACCCCCACTCACACACTCACTCTCCCACTCACACACTCACTCACACTAACATGCTCATTCACACTCATTTACACTCACTCACGCCCACACTCGCTCCCACTCCCACTCACACACTAACATGCTCATTCACACTCATTCACGCTCACTCACACACACAGGTGAGGATCACGCGCACACCCACTCACACACTCACTAACTCACGCACTCACTTCCACTCCCACTCACACACTCCCACTCACACACTCGCTCTCCCACGCCCACTCACACTCACTCACACTAACATGCTCATTCACACTCATTCACACTCATTCACGCTCACTCACACACACAGGTGAGGCTCAGGCCCACACTCGCTCCCACTCCCACTCACACAGGTGAGGACTCACACACACTCGCTCAGACACACAGGTGAGGCTCACTCACAGTCACACAGGTGAGGACTCACACACACTCACACTCTCACACGCACAAGTGAGGGCTCCCACGCTCATAGCTGTCTGCTTGAGTTCTCCATCCATCTTCTAACCGATTGACCCAGTGTGGAGTCGCAGGGAAGCCAGAGCTTATCCTACTCAAGCAATGCACAAGCACAAGGCAGGATGGGATACACTCTGGATGGGACGTCATTCCATTGTCCGCACACAGACACACAGCAGGGCCGATCTCCCCAGAAACCAGTGCTTCCACTGCACTACCGTGCCACCCACAAAGGGCTACGGCACAGTGTCAGTGTTTTTTTTTAATTGTGCCATGGATTTATTGTCCCTGCATACAGTATATGAATATTTATTTTTTATTAATTTGTAAAGATGCTAATCAGTAGCTGTAATGAGTTAATTATTTATAAACAACAAATTTGCCCCATGAAATATGCACGAGCCCCCTCTGCTCTAGCGTGGAGACCCAGTGAGCATTGCACAGGGGAAAAAAAACAGAAGACACAAAGCTGACTGAGCTCATCCTGTAAAGAACAAATTGGAACAGAGATGTAATTAGCTTAATCCTCTTTTTTGGTTATTATTTCCATAAATTACTGGTACAGTAAGATTAAGATTAGAACATGACTTAACTAGCCTGTATGGAAATTACATGGTCTTGCCAGGCATTCTGAAAGGCATTTCCGAAGCAGATAAGGAATTGTACAATGGGATTTTGGGGTAAACGATGTACTGCCTCTCTGTCTGGAAGCTCATTATATGCAACCAAAATTGGGAACTTCAGGAAAAATAATGGACCATAAATGGCTTTTACCCTGTGACTTTAACAACCTCCAAGATCATAATAGCTTGTTCTATCTCCAGTTGACTGAGAAAATGTAATTAACTACAGCACAGGCACCTGTGAGACTGGTGGGGGGTGGGAGGAATGAAGGGGGGGGAAGAGGTTGCTAGGAAACCACATCAGCACCAGGCAAAAGGCAGTAATTGGCTGATTATGTGATGCTCTGGGTACCTACCAGTCTCAGCCTGCTACACTGCTGTTCATTGCCCCCCCCCCCACCTCTATTTTCGTTGCCAGGCAACTGCATCACACTCCGTGTGTGTGAGCCATAATTGGCTCGTGGTACAGTGTGTCCGTGGGTGCCTGATTCGGCCGGCTGCACTGCTGTCTCCTCCGTTTCTTTTCTTAGTTGCTAAGCGACCGCATCATGCTCTGTGGCTCCAGGGCTATAATTGGCTGGTGTTTCTGGTTGCCGTGGGTGCAGGTCCCAGCCTGACTAGCTGCTGTTGGGCCTCAAGGGATGGTGAGCAATTACTGGGAGTGGGGTGCGAGCTCTGTACTGTCTCTTGCACCTGCGTCCCTCCAGATCACTCTCTGCAGGCCTTACAGAAAAACAGGCTGCAGACAGCCTGGGATGAAAGATGAGCACTAGAGGGATGTCTGCTGCCAGGCCAGAAAATGGAATATTTCAATTGTGGGTAAAATATAGTGCCTAGGGCCACTAGGTTATATTTCTGATGGAACTGGAAAAAAAAGCAGACTGGAAGTTAATTGGATTTTGTGCACGCAGATATTTTTTGTAAAAAAAGACATATATTTATATAATTGTCTAAAGAAATGGGCAACATTGTAAATGCCCAAATACGTTTGAATCAATGGATGTGTGAAACAAATGATTCATTGATGACTAAAATTTAGGCGTTACCGTGCTCAGACGACATCTGATTGCTAGCGAGCAGAATTACGCCATGAATTGTTTGCTTCTGAAATTGTCTTGATAAAATAGGGAAATGCAGGTTGGTTCTGGAATTGGGCTACAGGAAAGAAGCCACCCCTTTGTTTTCCAGGGGCGGTGTGGTAAATACAGTTCAACCATGAGTGTATTTAATCATTCTGAATTAATCACAAACATCCACAACTGGCTTATCACTTGATTAATTGATGGAAGCATGTAGGTATAGTTGGATGTGGCTAGCCAGATGGAGTTGGTTCTCTTTTTGCAGAGGAATTTCCAAGATACTTGTTCCTTATCTTCCCTGAGCAGTAGCAGTAAGAAGGCCACTGAAGCACATGTCCCATTATTCTGTGCTCACCGTCACAGTAATTGGTCTCCTTAGTCCCAAAATAAGCCTCTCCTGAGAGTTGCATTTCATCCCCGTGTTTTTGCACAGATTTTAAATAATAATAAACAATCCAGGATATTACAAGGTTTAGCATCGACCCATCATCTTTAGACTTCTCCCCCTCAGTGTGCATCACCTTCACTCGAGTTCAGCTGATCGCATGAAGACTCCGGTGAAAAAGTGATTTTCTTTTCTGCGGGCTGCTTTGACGAGGAACATGTGGAGGATCCATAAGCAGGGATGGTGCTGTGATTGAAGGATCGTGCAAGAGAGCAAACACAGAAGCAGGCAGCCCATGGCTGGACTGGCGCTGTGATGTAGGAAAATGACCTCCGCGCTGTGCTGTGTGCACGCCCCGTTTGCGGAGAAGGGGGATTTTCAGGTGTGTGAGAAGAATATGGTACATCTGCAGCAGTTAGCATCAGCCCGTTTATTCAGGAAAAATTCACTTCCTTTGAATGAAGCTACCCCCTGTGTTTTTGTTCCTTTTTCCAATTTTGACGTGTTAATTAAAGTGATCAAGTGCATCTTTACATAGTTTAGCTATTGTTTTCTATTGCGCAGACAAATGGATTGTGTTGGTTTTAGTTGTAAGATATCTTTGCGTAATCATAGGAACAGAAGAACAGTTACATACGAGATGAGACTGTCCTGGATCTTTGGTAATTAGTAGTTAACTTATCCCATCTCATCAAGCTGTAAATCTCATCAAGCTGTTTCTTGAAAGAAGCAATGATAGTGGCTTCAATGACATGGATGAGTAATTTGTTCCACACTCCCACCATCCTTTATGTAAAGAAGTGCCTCCTGTTCTCAATTTTAAAAGCACTTCCAGGCAGTTTCCAGCAGTGCCCTCTGGTTCGTGTTTCACTGTTCATTCGGAAGAAATCAGTATCGGTACAGACTGAAGCAGCTGTTCTTTAATGTGTTAAATTACCCCCCAATATACATCACTACCCCCCCCCCAATTAAAATTGCAAATCCCCTCCCTAGGGGTCTTGCCATCTCAGCTGCCCAGACAGGCAGACTGATCCCTGTCGGAGGGGCCTCTGGGAAACTGGGAAAAGTAAATGTGGCCAGCAAAAGCTGGAGGAGACTGCAAAGATAACATTGTCTGGCAGCTCTTAATGGACGGCCCTTGTTAACTTTTCAAGACACGAGTCTGAAAAATACAGGTGCGGAACACAGAATGGTGTGAGGAATCTTACAAGGGCCTGGATTGAAATGGACCGTTTTGATGCATCTCAGCACAGAGCTTTGAGAGCCGCCCCACTGCCTGCGCGCGAATGTGTGTTGTGCTGAGGATCATGGGAGAAGGGGGCGGGCCCGAGGTGCGCTGCGACGTGATTGGCTGTTTCCCTCCGCTCTCCCCGCAGGTGAGAAGCCCTACAAGTGCTCGTGGGAGGGCTGTGAGTGGCGCTTCGCCCGGAGTGACGAGCTCACGAGGCACTACCGGAAACACACGGGCGCCAAGCCCTTCAAGTGTAACCACTGCGACAGGTGAGGCTCGCGCAGGCCGACGCCAACCCCCGCCCACACATGGCTGGAGTCCGGTTCCTGAAGCCCCCCCCTAACACTCCGCAGGCCGGAGCCGACTCCTGAGTCTCGGGCACGCTTGGCCGACTCGTGCTTTGACGGCAGCTGGCTCCTGTCCCTCGCCACCCTGCTTCGTTCACACGAACGCGTCTTGTAACATGTCAAACGCACTGGATAAAATGGGAAAAAAATGCATTAAAACGGCTTCTATAGAAATGAGAATCGGGGAGTAAATAGCAGACATTATTTCCGAAAGTGCCACACAGGAATTGGGTAAATACCACTTACGTATCCATAAAAATGCACACAAGTCAAGTGTTACTTGTTTCTTGTAATCCGAGGGGAGTCTGTCCTTCTGCAGAAGGCTCCCAGGACAAGGAGTTCTGATTTTGTGATCCCATCGGAGTCTAATGCCCGGCTCCGTTCCTCTGCCCCTAATTCCCTCTGCCTCCCAAGACTCCAGCTCACACACCGGCCCACACTTCTGATCCGCTTGCCCGTGCCGCCCCCCCTGAAGCTGCAGACACCCCCGCCCGTGGGCGTCATGCCGACAGGCTCTCCCAAAGGCAGCGTCCCGAGAGACGCAGGCCACCCCCTACTGCTTCCGCTGAGCGGTGCACCCCTTTCCTGAACCTCGCCCAGCTTTCCGTGAGAAAGTGTCCAAGGCCCGCGGTTCTGTGAGCGGCCCGGGGGGACGGACCCCCCCCCCGGGGGAGAGAACGGTCAGCAGCCCCCATGGTAGAAAAATTCCGATCTGTGTCCTTTCCGTCGTGATGGAGGCCTGTCGGGTGACGCTGAACACTGACCCAACACCGCTCCGGCAGGCTGCCCTGCGAGAGGAATATTATTGTCCTTCCTGTTCGCGTTTCAGCTCCGTTCGCATTCTGAAACGCTGGCCGTGGTTCTGCCTCAGCCCGGCCGCAACGCGAGGGGGAGAGACCCTCGTCCTGCAAGGTCATTTTCCGGGACAGTAACCAAAAATTCGGGGTATGGCTGGGCCAGATCTTGCAGTGTTTGTTGAAAGCATTCTCCCCTGAATAAGCCCTGCGCCCCGTATGGACGAGGCGAAGAGGCAGCGGGAAGGAGGCGGGGGGGGGGGTCTGGGTTTGTGTGTTCTGGGAACGTCGGGCCAGGCCAAGCGCCGAGCGGCAGGGAAGCTACAGACGGTGTCCGGGAGACAGAGTGACAGAGCAGTTCGCTGGCTGGATGGCTGCAGGCTTCTGCCTCCATTATCCAGCTTCCCCGGGGGGTTACAGTGGAGGAGAACCCTCTCAAAGCCTTGGAGAGGAGGTACAGTGTGTCACCACCAACCCCCCCCCGCCGCGTCCACTGCATCAGCGTTAATCCCGGATAATCGCGAGCGGTGTCCCGCAGGCCCGAGGCTGCCCGACTGCGGGGCGTCCCGCTGGCCGCCCGGACCTGCGGCTGAGAGCCAGCTGGAGCGAAAGCCCCTGCCGGTGGCTCGCGGTGCCATCTGTCCCGCTGCGCTCCTGCTCTGGGCTGGGCGCCGTACGCTCTCAGACACAGGCGGGGGGGGAGCAGGAGAGGAGAGAGATTGAGGGAACTGGGGGGGGGGGGCGCCATTCTGCTGCACGGTTTGGCTGTCGGCCGAGGCGATGGCAGTTCTGCAGACAGACCCCAGCCCTGTTCTCTCGCACAGGGTCATGGGAGAGGTTTGCGGTCCTGCTGTTAGCAGAGTGGGTTTTGTAGCGCTACCCAGGTTCAGATCTTCCAGGATGACATTCCCGAAGATGCTGGATTTCACTAGCTTCCAAGGCTGAAGGTCTCTGTATGTTGGCACCACTTTCTCTTATGAATAACTCAGTTAATAACCAAGTAATCAAACATTACTACCTGGATCCTGCGGTGGATCAAGTTGGAGTGTCCGGTATTTGACTACCTCCTGGTATAGACCATGAGGGCACTTGAAGTGTTGCGCCTGGACTGAGAGAGGACAGACTGCCAGCTGTGAGAAACAGAGACAGAGGTGCACTTTCTGCTGCACTGGAGGACACAATAGCTCAGTAACAAACTAAATCCCCAAATCCCCACACCTGACAGATTCAGAACAGATTGAGGAGCAGAGAGTGAGCCTCTCTGATAATATTATTTTATTGTCCAAAATGCCTGTTACTGTTTACTGGTTTTGATAGCTTTGGCAACACTGTACATCATCAGTGATGCTAATACAGCTCTTCCAGTTTGAGCGTGAGAGCCTCACTGTGCCAAGAGTGGGGTTTCTCCAGGAGCACGGCTGTATGTCTGTCCTTGTCCCTCCCTCACAAGTCTTCCAACACTTGAAGTGCCTGCTGCACTGTCTCCTGGACGTGGCTCTGAACCGCTTCTTGTCCAAAGCTCATGATTATTAGCGATAACAAATATCCATGTCTGTTTTACTCATTTTCTAGCAGGGAGGTGGACAAAGGTTGTTAGTCCCAGTTAATGAAGTATTACTTCATTTCGATCACTCAACTGGTCAGCAGTCCAGCCTGAATGCTCAATGTCCAAAACCTTGACAGGAGGTTTGAGAGGTCAAACTAAGACAGGCACACACACATGCAGATACACACACACACAGGCACACAGGGGAATCCCAGCTGCACTGTCTGGCCACTGGGATTCCCTGTGTTGTGTTGATTTCCCAGCCAGTGTTGGGGGTGTTTATTGTAGGAGATGTGTCCCAGGTAAAGGACAGGCGGCCGTGTGCTCTTCCCAGCACTCCTCGTTGGTGTTGGGAGGCAAGAGTGCTTCTGTTGGGAGGCAAGAGTGCTAACCCCCCCCACCTCCTCTTCCTCTCCGTGTCTTTCAGGTGTTTCTCGCGGTCGGACCACCTGGCCCTGCACATGAAGCGGCACATCTGAGGGCCCGCGGCCGGTCCGGTCCTGCTCGGGAGCCGGAGCCGATCAGAGCCCGGCTTTCAGTCAGCCCGTCCTGCGCTCGCCGCCACCAGGGAGGGAGAGTACGACACAAAAGAGAGAGAAAAATTCTTTTTAAAAAAAAAACAAAACAAAACAAAACGCACACTTTGAAGACTGTCCATCATCTTTGTAGCAGATATGCGATTAGCCATGCCTTACCTACCTAGCCAGGGATGGGAGTCAGACACTGCCAAACAACTGCTGATCCAGTCATGCCTCATATGTACATATATCTTTTTTTTTTTTTTGGAGCTACTGTTGCCACGGAATCTGGAGAGGCTAGAGTACAATCTTCTGCAATGCCCACCAACTACCGGCCTGCCTCCGGGACACTGTGGAGGTCGTGGTTGCTTTGAGAGTTGAAGATCGATTCGCTCAGTGGGCCATTTCTCTCCTCTTTTTCGGAGAATGGGAAGGTTCCAAACGATCCAGGCAGGGCGCACTTGATCTCTGGCCGTGGGGCGGAAGCTCGTCCAGGAATCGCTGGACAGGGACAGCGGTCAGCCAGCAGCTGGGCCTGTCCTGTTTGTTTGGATGACTACACAAAGAGGGGGGGACAGCTCTTCTCTGCCCACCTTAATGCCTGCCGATTCGCAGGCGCCCGATGACTACGCAGCGACACTTTCTTGCCTTTTTTTAAAAACAAACGTTGTTTCTCAGCTGAAACGTCTTAAAAACTCACCGAACGGTTGCTTTGTGTATGTGCGCGTTCAGCTGCGCGTGCCACAGGGGGGACACGACTCGTGTGCACTAAGCAAAATCGGTAGCTTCTTCCTAAGCACTGACTGTGAGGAGAAGGACAGTGGACAATGGTTTGATCGGAAAGACTTTGTCAATCCTGAAACGGAAGGAAAGGCCTGTTCTGTGCTTTCAATCCAAACTGCAGAGCTCTTAATCCCAGAAGGCTTTGCCTTCTTATTTGCGACCTAGAAAACTTGAAATCCTCTTTGGCAAATGGAACCTTTTGGTCCGTTCTGGAGCAACACAACCCAGGAGGACCATTATCCCTGCCGGACAGCCTTGGGGAGTTCCTGGGGGGGGTGGTGAGACGTGACTGTGGTTTGGGGTCCAACTCCATCGCAGGAGCTACCAGGATCCCAGGACTCTGATGTTACTTCCAGCACAGCTCGCCCGCTTCTTATCCCATCGTCCGCACTGACTGTTTTCATCCGTGTTTTCTTAAAATCGAAGGAAAAAACAAACAAAAAAAATACACTCACACGCACACCAACTGACATGAACAGAACGTTTTCTTTGCTCACAGCTTTTCGTTATGAAAAGCAGCAAAAAAAAACACACACGCAAAAACTGTAAAACACTGCGTGGCAGAGCGACAGACCGTGTCCGGGAGTGGCTCTGCGGTAAAGTGTTTTAACGGTAGAGGATTAACTACCGCTGTTCTGTAATAACGGTTTACGTCACATCAGACCGAAACACACGGGAAAAATAAGGGCATCACCATTTGCTCTCCCGTGTTTAACTGCCGTCTCCAGGTGTCCTCGGCCTTAGCGTTCACCACCCTGTACTCCCGATCCAGGAAAGAAACTGGGAATCTCCCCTCCTCCTGATCGCGCCACCCGCAGGGGAGTCGTCGTTGTCGCCCTGCTCGCCCACCGGTAATCGGGACAGGTCGTTGACACAGCACGACGCTCCGGCCGGCTCAGGAAACTGCTGCTGCTAAGCAACCCAGGACTCCGCGAGGCGGACTGACAGCCCGGCGGGAGGAGATTAGCGTCGCGCGTGCTCGTCAGGACGCGTCAGCGGAGCAGTTTCTCTCAAAGACCGACAGAAACCGATCGTTCAGTGAAGAGGTGGTTATACCTGTTGGGTCTTTCCGTTTGATTTGGGACGGGAGGGGTAATGTGAGAAAACGGGAACTTTTAAAAAAACGAAACAAATTAAAACGAACAAGCCAAATTTCGCGAGGTTTTCGGATGTTGTTCCTGCTCTCGTACAATCGGCGGGCACCCCTCTGCCCGCGGGACTCTGCGTGACTGCGCACGGCCGGAAGCCTGCTGTCTGCCGGGCTCTGACGTCACTTCCTGTGTGGTGTTCTCTCCCATGAGTAGAAACAATCCCGCCAGCTTGCTGCGCGCTGCAATCTTCAGGCGTACATTGTTAGTTTGAAGTCACCCAGACACGCCTCGGACTCAGTTCCTCACGTTAAAGACACTCCCTTGTTTGAAAGGGGTAGGAACGGAGTCACCAAAACAGACTGGACCTGTTTCAACTGCGTGTAGCCGTCAAGCAGCTTAAAGATTTATGTGATGTTGCACAAACCCAGCGTGGTTGGATCTTATAGCGGGGAGAGAAGGGCAGATGTAAAGTTAGGGTGAGGGGAACTGCCACCCGTCGGTGCCAGCTGGTTGACATCTCCCCTCCCTTCCCACTGCCTGCGCTGTCAGGGGCCACAGTGGCCCCATGCTACACTCCCCACCTCTGGACTACCTGATGTTTAACACTGGCAGCAGTTCTGTGAGGAAAAAGCCCGGGATCAGTCCTGTCCCTTAACACAGATTCAGACCTGAGCTGATCAGCCTGACTTTTCCACTCCCACCTGTTTCAAACCGTTTCACTTTTCTCCGAGCAGTTCCCCCCCCTGATTATTTGCTAGATCTTCAGCAGCCGGGACAGATGAGCCGTTCCGAATCGGTTAGTGGCCCTGGAGGGGTGGGTGGGTCTCGGGTCCCACACTGGCGTGGGTCGCGCGAGCCCAGGCTGCCGGGTTGGGACCGTCGCGGGACGACTGCGGCGGCACCGTCGCCACTCTGATGCTAACAACGCGAGCAGAAAAAAAACCCAGTTTGGAAACCGAGACCGTTTCACCCAGCGAGAGGGAAAGGCGTGGATACGGGACGACCAAAATAACGCTGACCGAAGAGGCGAGAAGGGAACGTGCTTCAAAACGAACCAAAAAAAAAAACGAAGCGAGGAGGCCCGGCAGCCTCAGCCTGGTCTGGTCTGGTCTGGTCTGCCTGGATGGGTCCTCGTGCAAGTGGACGTCAGTCCCCCTGCGGTCTCTTACTGCCCTTCCTGCGCTCGCTCCCAGCACGATCCACCGCAGGACTGCAAACGCCCTCCCAAAGATTGTGCATCCCCTCAGACATTTCCTCCCGACCCTTTTCTGTCCTTCCCAGTCTCCTCGTCTTGGCGGGGGGAGGAGGGGGGCATGCCCTGTTCGGGAGCAGGATCGGGGGTGTAGAGTGGCCGCCAGGGGCAAGGAGCCTGACACCCGATGGAGTGGATATAGCTTTATAAGGTCCGTGCTGCCTGTCGCTATGCAGGTTGGACGTTGAACAAAAACACAGAAAACAACACGCGTCGGAAAAAAAAATAGAAAAAAAGGAAAAAGCACCCCAAAAAAAGCAGGCTTCGGGGCCTCAGTGACTTATAGGAGTTGTGGTGAAATAAAATGTTCCTCTTCTTAATCACAGCATAACATTTCAATCCATTAATCGCACTCTCTCTGTATACTACTAGCCTAGCCTATCAGTTTGAGCACTCCTCTGTGAGATAGCCACTTAACATGTTCTGATTCTCAAAGATGCACTGTCCACCCTGACCCCCGCAGGACCCTGATAACCATCTGACCTCCAGAGCCCCTGGGACGTCTCTGGGCTTTGGATCAGCTTGGAGGTGATAACTGAAAGGCGCTAAACAAAGCACATTGGAGTGGTTAGGGCAGTTTGCCTGTGCAGGTCAGCGGCTCTCCTGGATATTGCATCTTTGAGTGTGTTTGTAGCTGCTGTGTTTGTCCATATTCCGTGTGTCAGTGTGTAAAATCAGGGGGTCCACCATTTCACCCTTCCTCCCCTGACTCCCCTCCCGGGTCTCACAGCAGTGCATCCTGGGAGTTGAGCTGCCTGGAAGCTCAGAGCATGCTGGGACTTGACTCCTGGTGGAGCAGAGGGGCCCAGGAGTTCAGCCACTGCCTTGGGCTCCAGCCACACAGAGCACTGGCGCAGGGAACGGGAGTGTGGAATCAGAAATCTGCTTTCAATCCCTCGTACAACTGTAATTGTACATTTCCTACAGGCCTTGCTTTGTTTTGGTTTCGGGGGTTTTTTTTTGTATTTTTTCTTTTTATTTTGTGAGAGACGGGGCTTGACACAGCACACTTGTCTGTGAGAGAGCACCAGGCAGGTACCTGTCAGCGTTCTACAGACTTCAGTCCTGAACTGTTTTAGTTCCAGGAGAACTGCTTGCCATTTCTACAAGTGCTTCTTTTTTCCCGGTCAGAGGACCAGCCACTGTGTGGCAATAGGGTTCCTGTTGATTCCATGAAATTAGCTAGTAATGCACAGGAGGTGTGTCAGCAAGACCTGTCTTGACGGCACCTGGTTTTGTTTTCATTATTGAAGACGTGACGACTTTGCGAAGAGTGGCCCCTATCTCCTCTCCCCCATGCCTGCACCCATGCTCACACCCCGTCCCCTAGCCAGAGCTTACTTCTGTCACCTACACTTTCTTATTTCTTTTTTTTTTTTTTTTGGCTGTACAAAGTGTTTAAAAATATTATTTGTATTATATGATGTTAGTATGGTAATGTTCTTTATTAAGGAAGAAGAAAATTTATTTTTGTTACTGGTCTGTTTCATAATTCTTTTTTAAATTGGTATTGTAAGATATCTATGCAAGAACTGTTCTGTGGAGCCTTTTTATTTAAGAATGTAATATGTGTAATAAATGGTAGAATCTGCTTGGCTTGGGATTAAAATTTCTCTCCCGTGCTCTTGACTGCTAAAATGATTTGTCTGGATTCTCGGGGGAGGACTGGGAGTGCAGGAATCCAGCTTGTTATCGCAAAGGCGAGCAGACAGCTTTTCACTTTTTCCTGGCACTCGCCTCCAGAGCCGGTGACGTCTGGGAAACTGGGTTACCGAGCCTTGTGTAGCGCGTGTGGAATTAAAAACCCGCCGCCCTGCCGAATGTCCGCAGAGCCATCCTATTTCCCTGGGGCCCCTGCTGGTCCCACAGGTGTGGCGCTGAGGGACCCCAGAGCGCTGCACGCAGGG